ATTTTTGTGTCAGATTTTTGAAATTTCTTTTTATCCGAATGTTAATTTCGATTCAAAATTTGAGTAGTGATTTCATTGGAATTTACGGAATTGAGGCCTTCGTGTCTTTCAAATTGATAATAATTGTAGGTCAATGTTACAATTTTCTTGTTGTGTCGGAACCTAGACGTGCCCTGAGAAAATTAAAAAAGGAAAAAGAAACTAAATGGTGTAATTTGAGCTAGCTAGTGGTATTTTGAACGTTATTCCATCATACTTTTAAGACACTTTATAAAGTCCCCAAATGCTATAATGATAATAATAATAATAACTTAAAAACTCCCCTTTTGAATTATAGCGGTGCGAATTGTTCGGGTGCAATTACCCGTAAACGAATTTGTTGGGTGCGAGTGGAAATGTCAAGAAAGGCAAATATGGGTAAAAATTATCCAAGAGCGAATTGTTCAAGTGCGAAATATTTTGGAAGAGAAATGTCCAAGTGCGAATTATTCCGGTGCAAATTATCCTGGAGCGAAATGTCCAGGGTACGAAATATCCTGCGAGAGAAATGTATACGGGTGTGAATTATTTCATGTTGTCTTAGCCTTATTTATAGACATCAAGGTTCACCTTTATTGAAAATGTACATATACAGGTACCACAAAGCATTGACGGCTCGTGTAAGGAGTAAACTCTTGTTTTTGACTAAAACTCATTTTTTATTGATTTGACCTGATTGTATCATTATCTAATTCACTTAAAATTGATTTTGAATAAAAAAAACTTTCATTAGTGGACCTCAAGGTAAAGTAATAAAAGAACGAGCCAAAAGATGACGTCCCTTAGTTTTACTTGAAACTGATTCGGACAGAACAGTGATATATTTGCACGAGTCAAGTCAAATGTATTATTATACTTTCATTGACTTGTTGCTTCCTTCTTTTTGCTGAAACAAAGAATTTTAAATTAATAATAGGTATAATATGGCGCTTTCTCCCTTCCAACCACTATGACAAATTTACGACCCCTACAAGTCAAGTACTGTCGCTTCAATTTGTAAGAAGAGGGTGACACTACTGATGAAATTTTTAACACATTCATACACCAAGCAGACACAAAAGCATTCATTTACAAACAGTTTCGAGCACTTTTTTTTTCATTGTAGGTAACTTTAAAATATTCCTAGAGGTAGATTAGTTTTTTATTGAAATATTCCTTCGCTATTGTTAGTAAAAACGAAATTATGAAAATACGCCATTTTTGTGTTCATATGAACTTGGCAGCATTTTTGAATTAAATATGTTTGTGCCTTTTGCGCTTTTATACTTTAAATTAATCGTCTCGTAAAAAAATACGTCACTGCCTGCTGGCAAAGTAAAACTCACATAATGGTAATCCAATAAATAAAATATGCTCACCATTGCAGAACGGAACTTTTAGGTGAGATTGTTGGTTCTCCCAAATTTACATACACGCTTTCCGGGGGCACGTATAAAAACGCGTCACCACAAGCAACATTTCTTTGACCCAATTTCGGATCATAACGCCATAAATAGCGCAACGCCTGTTTTTGATCTATAAAAGTTTAAATTAGTTGTGCTTTTACAGCCCGTATTGTTATACAAGAAGGCGTATTATACGATGTGTGCGGATATCTCCCCCAATTCTTTTATTTCTGACATGCGATACTGCCATTAATACGAATTTATTGGGCGATTTCGAAAGCTCAATTAGCGCCGAAATCTTTTTACATTTTGAACCGTATACCTAAATTTCTTATGTGCGCTAAAAATGGAGCACGTTAAAATATCTGCCTTAAATGCGACGATAAAAATATTTAAAGATGCTCAATTCGCTCTGAACTTTCAAAACTTGTAATACTTTGAGGTTTACAAATCATCCTCAACTTTATACTTTTTCGTTCAAAGCCGTCATTAAAAACGCGAGGTCTTTTCGATTTTCCCTGAAAATGCAATTACTTTTGTAATGAAAAAAACGCGGTTTATGGAGTGTAGATCATTAGAAAGGAAACGATTTCGTTCTAGTTATCTTTGAGTACCTATTGGAACAATTAGGCAGTGATAGCTGCTTTCTTTCGTAAACCGTCCTCGTTAAGGAGAGAAATTCATGTTTTACTGATTATGCCAAATTTTCTGGATCTCTCCCGGTTACACTAGAAACCGATATCAATTTGTTTATTTTGAATGGAATATTATGATTTTTGTTGCAGTTTTCTGGTTTCGTTTTTTTAATTTTGGGCTGTATAAGGTAGTATACGTGCTTTACAGACAGGTAGACTTGCTTTCATGATTTTAAATTTTAAGTGTGTTGAGACAACATATTACGCAATTATCCATTAATCTGAATTACAGACGCTGCAATTTAATCTGAAAGTTACAAAAACATTGTGTACCTACACTGAAATGTTGGTTTTCACAAAAAAAAACAAAAAGAGGCTTGTTGCAAATATCGTTAAGATTTATTTTGTTGCAAATAAGATTTTTTCGCCAAATTTAAACATTCTGCGTGTATTTTAATTTCACTCTTAATTCGTCTTAAATTTTTTTTTGTCGTAAAACAAAATTCCCTTTTGCCTTTATATCGCTCCACTAAAACCCCTAAGGTGTACAATTTGAGGTAGGTCAAAGGGTTATAGGTAGTGTAGATAAGTGACAAATTTATTTCAATTTTATTCTGGAGGAAACACGACATGTACGTTGCACTCTGTAGGAATCGCGTAAAAAACGTCGAAAACATGTATTTTATTTCATACTATGAAACATCAACTGACATCTATCTTAACGTGCATATTAATATGTCAAACAACTGTCCTATAAAGAAAATCAAGTGATCGACTTTTGCTTTTAGTTGTACCTATAACATTCTAATCAAAATTTATTCCAAATTTTAATAGAAAAAAAGGAGCAGTAGGAGATAAAATGCTTTTTTCACTACTAGCGTTTGATGACATGATTATTTACCTTTTTTCCACTTGAAAAGTAGTCTTTCTCGGCAGTTGTTCAAAGTGGTTAATAATGTGGTCATTATTAACTAGTACTAGTCAATAATGGAAACTGTCACTTTTATAAATCACAACCCGAAATTTCGTTCAATAAACGCTTATACAAGTTCTAAAATGAATAATTGCCACCATCCCTCATATTAAGACAAATTACATTACACACATTAAAATTAAAACATTTTGAACAATTCGAATAAAGCTACTCTTTGAAAATATCTCAATGACAAAATACGGCTTGCTTGACTTTTACTCCCACGTGCTGGATTGACATTCTGCCCAACAGTTCACATTCTTAACAATATAATATGCTTGTTTAGAGAGGACTTCAAGTATGTACTAGTAGTGAAAGAAATAGTATAGACGGTAGAGAAGAGGTATGGAGAAGGTTATTATTGCCTTCGCATCTTACACCCCGAGGCGCTTGCCTCGGGATGTAATCTTGTGCTCAGGCAATAATACCTACTAGTCTTCTCTACCTTGCTATACAGGGTGGTGCCTAGCGCAACGCAGCATAGGGATTTCAATGGTAATTTCTTTATAGTCAATTAGTAGCTCCCCTAATTATTTTAGAGCAAAAGTCTAAATACGTTTTTTTAGAGAAAAAAAAATACTGCATCTGTTCATACTTTTAGTTATAAATTTCCACTTTTCAAAACCGTAGAAATCGACAAAATAAAAAATTACATTTTTATAAATCAGTGATGCTTTGGAATCTTTTAACAAACTACAAGCGCATCGCATCTAAGTTATCGTTATTTGACGTCGAACGATTTTCATATTTAATTCTGTTACAACTATCCGATGCAAGAAAAAGCGGCAATTGGGTATTGTTTTTATAGAGAATGTATGCTACATCTGCATCAGATACTATTTGTTTATCAGAGAGAATCAGAGTACCTACATAATCGAAGAAGAAAAAACTGATTTGAAGCAGATTTGTTCCTAAACTTATATTCGGATTTTCCGCTACTGCAGCCAAAACGTTGAATGTATTGTCGTTTTCCTGATGGTTTTGACGGACATTTTGAACGTTATTGCACTTGCAGTTCTTTAACTAATTTATAGACAAGTATAAATTTAATATACGTCAAAGGCAAATAATGAAACGTGATCGCTGTTTTTTTAAGTAATTCCAAGGCATATTTGATTTATTGTAAAATGAACCTTTTTATTTTGTCGATTTCTACGGTTTTGAAAAACGGAAAATTATGAGTAATAGCATGAACAGATTCAGTATTTTTTTCTCTAAAAAAAACTGATTTAGACTTTTGCTCTAAAATAATTAGGGGAGCTAGTAATTGACTATAAAGAAATGACCATTGAAATCCCTATGCTGCGTCGCGCTAGGCACCACCCGGTATAATGTACTATTACTTTATTTGTATGTTAAGATCAGATTACATTACTGGTTTCGAAATTCCTTCCTCAGCTACGCTTCGGCAGCAACATCTCGCCGTTAACGTAAACCTTGATTTACCATACTCGTATGTAAATAACTATTTCCAGAAAAGATTCAATGCTAAAAAGTTCAACATTTTGTCGTATTGCGCTCATTATAGGGTATATTTGACGATAAAGTATTCACTTTGCGTGTTTATAATCTTTGAACCTCTCATTGATCAGAAGGGCAGTCCAAATTCATTGGCATACTCTTCAGAAACAAAACATTTTTTATACCTTAATTTGCTAATTTTAAAAAACGAACAGCACAGGGTTCTTACCGACATGGCTGTCCACTTGCCTGAAGTTCAACGTTGGTTCTGATACTGGATTATTCACCTAAACAGAAATAATGCTTTATTCTACACACAATCGGCAATTTTCAAAGAAAAGAAAAATAAGGACATAAGGTTCTCACCGAAACTTCCATCCACTTGGCTCCATTGATTTCGGCCTGGACCATTCACCTAAACAGAGGCAATGCATTATTTCACACAATGGGCAATTTTTAAAGAAAAATAAGAACACATGGTTCTTACCAACATTCCCATCTACTTGCCTTCATTTCTCCATTGATTCCCGACAGTGGACCATTTACCTAAACAGGGATAACGCATTTTTTTACACACAATCAGCAACTTAAAAAAAATAAAAACACTAGGTAGGTACTCACCGAGATTCCCATCTGCTTGTCTTAATTTTTCCATTGATTTCGGACACTGGACCAATCACCCAAACAGAGACAACGCATTATTTTACACGCACTCGGCAATTTTAAAGAAAATAAGAATTCAAGGTTCTCACCGACATTCCCATCTCTTTGCCTAAATTTTTCCATTGATTTCGCCACTGGACGATTCTCCTAAACAGAGAAAAAGCATTATTTTACACACAATGGGCAATTTTTCCCATCTACATGACTCAATCTTTTCATTGATTCTAAAACTGTACCATTTACCTAAAACAACGATTATTTAACCCGCAAGGTTCAATTTAAAAAAAACTAAGAACACAAGGTTCTCACCGACTTTCCCAGCAGCATGCCTAAACTTTTCCATTGATTTCTGACAGTGGACCATTCACCTGAAACAGAGATAATGCATTATTTTACACAAAATCAACATTTAATGAAAAATAGAAACACAAGGTTCTCACCGACATTCCCATCTGCTTGGTCAAATTTTTCCATTGATTTCTGACACTGGACCATTAATCTAAACAGAGAGAATGCATTGTTTTACACACAATCGGTTAAAGAAAAATAAGAAGACACGGTTCTCATTGACATTCCCATCAGCTTGCCTAAATTGATTTCTGACACTGGACTATTCCACTAAAACAGAGAGAATGCATTATTTTACACACAATGAGCAGTTCTTTAAAGGAAAATAAGAACACAGGGTGCCCACCAACATTCCCATCTAAGCGGGCCAAAGAGGATTTTTTATACGTAACAAAAAATCAGCTTGAAAAAATTTTTGTTTCGATGTCTTGGGGTAGTATGAAAAATGAAATTTCGACTGTTCAGTAATTATAGCGTCGAAATTTGGGTCCAAATTTGTGGAAGAAATTCGCAAAACGCTCTCACGACGTTTCTCAATCATCCTGTTCATGAATATTGTTTTTTGAGGATATAGATTCTGGTATAAGTAGCGGGCCGAATCGAACCAAATCCCCCATCCCCATCCCTGCAATAGACCATTCACCTAAAACAGAGATAACGCATTATTTAACCCACAAGGGGTAATTTTTAAAGAAAATAAGAATACAAGGTTCTCACCGACATTCCAATCTATTCGCCTACATTTTTCTATTGATTCTGACACTGGACCATTTAATAGAACAGAGCTAACGCATTATTTTACATACAATCTAGAAAGAAATATAGGTAAGTACAAGGTTCTCGCCGACATTACCGCCCCCTTGTCTATACTTCCTCGTTTGTTCTGACAATGAACCATTTACCTACACAGAGAAAACGCGATATTTATTACTATTTTGTTCTTTCTTGTTTAAGTATAAATGTTACATGTTTTGGTTTACAGGGCCGCTCAAAGGGGGGGGGGTAACTGGGGCGATTTGCCCCAGGCCCCCGATTTCAAATCAACAATTTGTTCTATTCCAAAACAGGGCCCCAAAATTTACTTTGTCCCAGGCCTCTGAAATTGTTTGGGCGGCCCTGTTGGTTTATACCGTTGTAGGCAGATTTACTCAAGTGGTTATCAATAGATAGACATGAACCTCTCTCTGTATATATTTTGAACTGTCTTGTAATTGGACTTGAACGGTCATGCTGGTTTTGGATGACTCACCTGTAAATAAAGAAAATGATAGGTATAATATAAGCAACCTACTTTTGTGGATGTGAATCTTCGAACTACATGCAGTAAGTAACCTGAAACTATCTGTTGGCTAATCACTATGACAAATCGCTGAGTCAGCAGACTTAATCAGCTATAAAGGATGGAGGCAACAAGGCGCTTCAGCGATTTTGAGTCATGTGTGACAGGAACAAGGTGCATAAATGAACGCATTTTGGATCTAATTTTTTGTGATTTTGACTGTGAAGTCATCCACGATGATAACCCGTTTGTGTCAGAAGATGCGCACCATCCAGCACTATCAATAATTTGCCACACTGACTTGAGTCATAGGACAGTGTTTCCCGTTAATGAGAACAAAAAGTCATATAATTTTAGGAAAACCAATTTTATTAACTTATACTCGACTCTATCTAATGTCAACTGGTCTTTCCTACAATATTACTCTGATGTGAATAAGGCATGCGCGGAGTTTTATAATGTATTGTACAACTTATTTGATCAGTTTGTACCACTTCATCGCACTCGTAAAAACCATTATCCTAAATGGTTTACTGGTGAGATTATTACCCTTATTCGTTTTAAATCAAAATTTTTTTCTAAGTACCATAAGTTTAAGCGCCTTGATGATTTAAATGAATATAAACGCCTTAGAAGATTAGTTAAGTCACAAATCCAAAAAGCTTACAAAAACTATGCTGTTAGCGTTGAGAATACATTAATTACTAACCCTAAACAATTTTGGTCGTTCGTAAGAGCCAGAAAGGGTTACTCCAGAATTCCTGGTGTTATGAACTATGATGGTAATTCTCTTACTACTTCAGTTGAAATTGTTAATGCATTGCAGCTGTATTTCTCAAGAGTTTATCGTCAGTCGCAGAATACAAATGTTTCCAATGAGCCCTTCACCAATATTCCATGCGTACATTTGCAAAGAGTAACAGAAGGTATGGTCATTGACGCAATATCAAAGTTAAAAAATAAAGAAACTTCCGGAAATGACCAAATTCCATCATTCTTAAGGACTGTAAGCATATTTTCATTTATCCTTTGTGTATTATATTTAATCTGGCACTTAGTACTCATAGTTATCCTGACGTTTGGAAGATAGGAAAAATATGTCCTGTATTGAAATCTGACGATGCGTCTGAAATATCTAACTATAGGCCCATAAGCGTTCTTTCTACTTTTTCAAAAATATTTGAAATTACCTTGTTTAACTTTGTTTATCCTATGATTAAAAACTACATTTCAAGCGATCAACATGGTTTCATGCGCTCTAGATCCACAGCAACGAATCTTATTTGTTTCACGGAATTTGCAAGTCGAGTACTAGATGATCAAGGACAAGTTGATGTAATATACACAGACTTCCGCAAAGCTTTCGATACTATCGATCACAACTTAATTATTAAAAAGATAAGAAGTTTTGGATTCAGCGACTCTCTTAGCCTGCTCTTTACATCATACTTATCTAATCGTCTACAGTATGTATGCTATAATAATTTTAAATCCGAAGTCTTTATTGCATCCTCTGGGGTGCCTCAAGGACCCCTCTTGTTCCTTCTATTTATTAACGACATTACCAAGGTACTCTCCTGTAAGTGCCTATTATTTGCGGATGACTTAAAAATATTTCGGAAGATTGGCTCTGAGAGCCACTGTGTTCACCTGCAAGAACAATTAAATATTATTCATGATTGGTGTACTGATAATAGATTGGATCTAAATATTGGTAAATGCAAAATATTGTCTTATACTAGAAAGCATGTCATTCAGTATGATTATTGTATTGACTCTGTTCCTCTTAATCGTGTGACCGTTGCAAAAGATTTGGGAGTAGTGTTTGATCAACGGTTAAATTTTTCAAACCACATTCAAGCTATTTCTGCGTCAGCTATACAAACATTGGGTTTCATAATTCGTAATAGTAAACCGTTTAAAAATACTGATACGTTGTTGTCCTTGTATTGTGTTTTAATAAGGCCCAAATTGGATTACTGTGATCTTATCTGGTATCCGATCTATAGGACCCACATTATCTCAATTGAGAAAATTCAAAGAAGATTTATGAAGTACGTTTCGTTTAAGCAAGATGGTGTCTATCCGGCTAGAGGTTGTCCCTATGATGAACTGCTTAGCCGGTTTAATCTGCAATCATTGGAGAAAAGACGTATTTGCAATAGTCTTAAATTTACCCATGGTCTATTACATAACCGTATTGATTGTCCTAGCGTACTGTCCCTATTTAACTTTCATGTTCCGCCTCGTACTAGTCGCTATCCGTTAGTTTTTCTTAATCCGACACCCAGAACGAACTTGCTGTTAAAATCGCCAGTGTGTTTGATGTCACAAAATTGTAATCAATACTGCACACAATGTGATTTAAATATCTGCTCATTATCAGATGTAATTAATCTATTTCATTAATCTTTAATTGGTTTGTCATTTCGTAGATATATATGTCTCCTTACATTTAAATATCTCTTTATTTTTTTATTTTTTTTTGATAATCAATTTATAGTATATTATGTTTATTTTTCAATCATGCCATATTTAATTTCTGTAATTGTTCTGTAATTGGATGTACAAACATCTGTTGGACAATAAATCATTATTATTATTATTATTATTATTATTATTATTATTATTATTATAACACACATAACACTCCTCGAATAAGATACTAAAGGACATGGCTCGCATAATATTCTACTATAGGGAAAGGAGATGACTTGCATCACTAAGTACAAGGAACGTGGCTAGCGCTGGCAGGGTGACTGGTCAAACATCAGCATGTGCTAAGGGGAGCTAAGGCACGCAAAACACCACCTAATCTCACTACTTTATTATTAAACTAATAAAGCAAGGTTAGTTTACCCAGTAAGAGATCTCATTAACACTGCAGTACTAGCGTGGGGCACTTAAGTACCCCACTGCCTCTTTTGAGTATTTTGGAAGTGGAGATGAGTTCAATCTTTCGGAGTTGGCTATTTGCGACAAGCCATATGTGAAGTGTGATAGTGCAAATCCACATAGTTTACGAAAAGATAACATTACGAAATGGAGCAAGATACAACCACTTGTATCAAAAAAGAGAGCACATGATATAGTATTGAAAGCTCCAGGTACCACAAAAAAATGTCCGTACCAAAGATCACTTTCCCATACTGTCTTAGAGTGCTTCTCTTTGTATGGAATAAGTACTCAAAATGAACGTGCAAGAAGCATAAAAAATAATCTATTTCAAAGCTATAGGCGAGGAAGATGATACACTTTCAGAATCTGATTGACTTTTACAAATATACTTAATATTTTACGTATAATATTACACGTTTGCATTCTGTTAATAATTACAATTAAGACACAAATGCGTTTATTTTGTTGCAATATATACCCTTATTCCGGCATTATAAGTACCCCACGCGAGTACTGGCGCAATAATGTCGAACGCGAGTACCGCAATGTTAATTACTACCCTAATCAAACAAAAGCAAGATTACTCAATGAGAAAACTCACCTTTTCCACAACTATACAAAAGAGCGCTGCAAATACCAACACCTAACTAAAAGAATTATTTTCGCACCGTCCACTATGGCACTATCATGGCGAATACAGACAACTTTCACCCCGATAAGTGATAAGAAATGTATTCCACATTGTGAGTAATCCTCCGCTTGAGATTGCTCACCTTGAAATAGTCAACGGTCTAAGTTGGGTAACTAAAGATAATAAACAAATACAAACGGTGTTCTTACATTTTTTTTAATCGATCGATTAATTACCAAGAAATCTAAATCTTCAAAGTTTAGAAATTAATAAAACCCAAAAATTGGGTTAAACTAACGAATGTGTTGCTCGAAATAGCCTACAGTAATTTACATATAATAACACAATCCTAATTGAAACCAATGCATTGTTACAGTCAAACTAAATAAATGGCGATTATTCATAATGGAGGGAAGGAACACTCTGGGTCTCCTGTCACCATTACAAACAACTACACCATGCTAATGTGAAATATTAAATAATCATGTTGTATATTATTCTTGCAGTTGAAACAGTCACTATAAATCTTGACTACATGGGAAACGAATAGAAAATTGGAAAAAGAATACAATTGAACACAAAATAAATCGTTTGTCAGTTACCCACTTATACATGCATAAATCCCATCTGGCATATTTACACTGCGGAACTCAAGAACGAATGCAAAATGGCTTGTATGTGATTACGATATAAAAATGGTTATAATAAACACTATAGGAATACAGAATGAGGTGGTAAATATTTAAGTTTGCTCGTTTAAAACGAAAAAAAAACCTTTTTTCCCAGCGCGTACCTACTCATAAATAAAATTGTTGCACGACAAAAAATAGGTTATCCCTTACAACACAAGATTCTTTCCTAATCTCGTATGCCTTCTAAGATACTAATCCCTATGTTTGAATTATAGATACGAGGGGATACATCATCCCAGGCATCAAAGTCGAGTTTTCTCGAGCACAAAATTTTTATAAATCATTCTTATGTATAAGACGAGTGAAATATTTATGCTATTTTTTACATCGCTTTGGGACGCGAGAGTTATTTCTTAAAGAAAAGGGTCCCATAAAAGTAGATATTTATTTTAAGGGTGTTAACTGTAGAAGCGTTATAATGAAGGATTACATACAGGGTAAGTACATTTTTGATGCATTTCCTTCACTGAAAACCTAAATATACAGATGCTAGAGCAAATCATGGTAAGTGACTAGTGATAAAAGCAGCGCGTTCGAGAGTTTTTGGAGATTTATGGTCCGTTATGGTGATAAAAGTTTTTT